CTTAGTCTGGTTACAACTTGTGTAAGTTACTCCTTGGCCTGCTATTTGTTGAATGTTAGCCATAATTGTGAATTTGGTCATTAATGATGTGATCTGAATGTTAATTTAGGGGGTTATGGTATTAGATAAATCAAATGACTCATACATATCTAGATCTATTTTCAGTCATGCTTAACATTGATGTATGTTGTTAGGATGCATTCATGATTCATGTTTACGGAGATGACCAACATAGATTAGAGGAATAAGTCCCCAACGGAAATAGGTATTAATAGGTGTTTGTGTATATCTGAAAACCACGCAAATGTTGTTTCGTTCAACATTGTGTAGATGAACATAATAGGGCGATAATAAATGAGTTGCTAATGGATCATATTCTTCAATGCCAGTATGACTCAAGAGCTCATAAATTAGTTTTAAATCTTGACTGCCTTTAAGCATAATTTTAGTATTTTGAGATCGTTTTGTGAATATTAAGTTGGGAGGTTGAGTTGCCGTGTGTATTATAATTGCTACAAAGGTGCTAGTCTGATTGTTGTCATAGGGGTTCGAAGTGAGCCCCTTTCGTGAAGTCTGTTTGGCGTGCCTCATGTGGACTGGGCTCTTTTTGGGCCCAGAACTGAAATAGTAGTTGGTTTGTTAATAATTAAATGGTAGGCTTTGGGCCTTTCAAGTTAGGTAGCAGACTCGAACTAATGATCTTTTTCAGTAACGGAGATCGTCCTTGTTCGAGTTTGGACTTGAGCTTGGGGCCCACATGTCCTTGATTGCCTTGTTGTTAGTTAATTCATAATGTTAACAAATTAAGTTTCTTTTTAGAGACAATACTTTAATAGAAAATCGTAGTTCCTTTAGGATGTCCTTTTAAAAATAAATTGAGGTGCGCCACGCCAAATAAAATCACAAATTGCGTGGCCGTCTTTAATTACTTTATTAAAATATATAGAACTCGGGACGTGCCGTTTAGCGAATTTCATGGCCTCCCACAAAGTTAATAACACGTTAGTCGCTTTAGGCGCGTTCTTTAAAACCTCATGCCGGATCCCTAGTAGGAACGTTTGTTCGCATCATGTGTATTTGACTTAGGGGACTCAACACAGGGGTTGGTCTAGGACAGGTGACCTGAAATAAAACGACCATCCTGATGCATCTTACGTGCTACTTGTTCATTCATTTGCTTTGAATTTGCATGTTGACCAGCTTGTTTGTAATGAGAGAAAATTGAGAAAAATAGCAGTGTTGGGGCTAAGTGAGGGTAACCACTTGTTTGGAAAAAACCGATGCCCAAATAGTACCGAAATGCTGCCGGATATTCGGAAAATGAAAAGGAAAATATTTGAAAAAGAGATTGTTCAAAAAATACATTTGGTTTTGACAAATTTGACCGAACTACGCTGGTTGGATTCTCACCGGATGTGAGATACGTAGGCAACCCTCATCGGGTCCAACCTCCCTTTTCAGCCAAAAAATACCAAAAACTTTAATTTTTGTCAAAATAATTCGGGTGACGCCATTCTTGTTTAAAATAAGCCAAATGTCCCTAAAAGGGCGCCGGAAGGCTGTAGCCACCCTGAGTCATTTTAAATGGTTTGCGGGCACAGCCTTAAAACCTCCCTCCCGGAAGTGCTGAAAGGCCGTATTTGCAAAACCGAGTCTTTGTTTTCTTAAATGAAAATTTTGAAAAAAATAGTCATTTTTTCTTTTAAGTCAAAATGAGTCATTAAATAGCCATTTTTCTTTAAATAGCCACATTTTTCCTTTTAGGATGAAATAAGTCATTAAATTCCTTTAAATAAATGTGTAGGATGAGTACAGTTATCATGGAAACCTTCTCAGTCCTGAGTGAGATCCCTTTGAAGCTCCATATATGGTGGAATGACTTGGGGAAAGGCAGCAGAGAAACGGTGGTCAAGGTTTTGGGTGGTCTCGTCGGATTGTTGAACATCAAACCAAGAAAAGATATTATTGAGGCATTGATACCATTCTGGGACCCAACGACACCCACAATGGAGGAGATTGCGGGATATGCGGGTCTTAACGGGAACCTCAGGAGTAGATACCCATTGGCACCGAGGCCAGTCACCCTCCACAGATTTCTGGATTTATTGAACATTAGTCGGGACATTCAAGATAAGCATCTAGCAGAAGGGTGTTGCACACTTCATTTCCTATACCACCGATATGGCAACCCGCGAGGTTTCGAGGAGCCTAACACCGGTTTGACACACGCCGGGAACAAAGATAAATGGGAGGCCCGACGGGGGTTGGCTTTCATGGTAGCTTTTCTGGGGGTCGTGATCTGTCCACGAAAAGACGGTCACATAGACATTGGCCTTGTAGGAATGTTGGATGTTGCTATAAAGAAGTCTAACAGCACGGTAGTTCCCCTGATTGGGGCAGAAATGTATCGAGCTTTGACCTTATGCCGAGAGGGTGTAAAATTCTTTCAGGGTTGTAATCTGTTGTTACAGTTATGGATACCGGAGCACCTTTGTCATCGCACGGGGTATATGAACTATGGTTTAACCGGGCTGCGTTGTATCGAGGAGTTTGGAACCCGGGTAACAGGTATTGAGTTCCCCGAGGGCACCGAGGCTTGGCTATCTTGTTTGAGATCTTTGACTGCGGATAAAGTTGAATGGGCTTTCGAGTGGCTTCCCGCTACCGAGGCGGTATACAGATCAGCAGAAGTACCTTATATTCTTTTGATGGGAATTCGAAGCATCCAACCCTACGCTCCTTACCGAGTTCTGAGGCAACTAGGAAGATTCCAAACTGCTCACAATGATGAAGACCTGAGCGGACAAATCATTGAGTTAGGCCCAGAAGCTGCATTTCCGGAAGGAAAAATTCGACAAATATGGAATGAGTGCAAGTACCTTGAGCGTAAGACTATAGTACAGGATCGGGCTAAAGGCGAAGTAAACCCCAAATACTTGACCTGGTTCGGCAAAAGGTTTCAGATTCCCGAGAGACCCGCCAAAAGGCCACATGTACAACAATTCACTGACGGAGCCCAGGTACAATGGGATTGGCTAGCCAAAGAAAAGGAATACCGGGCCAGGATAGGGGCGCTGGAGCAGCAAGTCCGAGATCTTCTATTTGAAAAGAGTGTGCAAGCTGCGGCTGATGAAGGTGACAAAAAGAAATTGACTCAAGAGAATGAGGTTCTTAAAGAGCAAATCCGACAAATGAAAATAGTTGTTAAAAATCAAGAAAGAAGTCGGTCCGATGAGAGATTGATAAATGTGCTGAAAAAGCAGGTCTTAGAGGGCCAAGATGAGTTGGAGAAATCTGAGGGGAATATGGCGAAACTCCGGGCACAATGGGCGAAGAAGACAGAGGAAAGAGCTCAATTTGTGCAACAAATAAAAAGAAATTATGAGGGAACCATTGCTAAGCTAAAAAGAAAGATGAACACCCTTGAAGACAAGGCATCCCGGCAAGACAAAGAATTTCGGGCTGAAAGAGAACAGTGCTACAGGCTAATGGCCGAGATGGAGAAAGAAATAAAGCTGTTACAAGACCATCATTTTCACGACTCCCAGGTGTTAGAGGCTCGCAACCAGCAGATAAGCCGACTACTCCAGGAAAAAGGCCAGATCAGGGAAAGAATTAGAGGCATTGCAGATTATATTGTCACGAAATGTCAAGCCGGCGAAAGAATGGGCCGTACCACTTTCTTTGCTACAATGATGATATTTGTTCGTCAGGTTATGAATGATTTGGAGCAATTACAAAGGGGTCTTGCACGCAGGCCCGCGGCGATGCCGAATGATGCCCCGCGGGCCCCAGGATTTGAAGCTTTGATGTACTCTTGATCTAGTTTTAATCATCGAGTCTGTATTTTGTTATTTTGAGTCTTTTTTTGTAGTTTCCTTTTCAAGAAAAACAAGTAATCTAGTAGCTTTGTAATCGGGGTTTTATCAATGAAATTTGAAAAGTTCCAAAATTATTTCCTTATTTTTGCGTTTATTTGCAAGAACTATGCTTGGTCTGATTCATGCGGGATCATGATACGTAGGCAATCTCCATAGGATTCGACCGAAACCAAAAACAAAAGGCAATTAAGAATAAAAGAGAGCAAGAGAAAAGGAAAGAAAGAGTGGAAAAACAATTTTGAGGAAAGGAGAGTAGAAACAAGAAAGGCCAAGGCAAGAGGAAAAATAGGAAAAAGAAAAGAGGGGAAAATAAGAGAGAGAAGCAAAAGAAAAGAGGGAAAGGCATGAAACAAACAAAAGAAAAACAAGAGGGAATGAGAGAATAAAAACAAAGAGAAAACAAGGGTGTTGTGTATATCTGAAATAGGTATTAATAGGTGTTTGTGTATATCTGAAAACCACGCAAATATTGTTTCGTTCAAGTTGTGTAGATGAACATAATAGGGCGATAATGAATGAGTTGCTAATGGATCATATTCTTCAATGCCAGTATGACTCAAGAGGTCTCATAAATTAGTATTAAATCTTGACTGCCTTTAAGCATAATTTTAGCATTTTGAGATCGTTTGTGAACATTAAGCTGTGAGGTTGAGTTGCCGTGTGTATTATAATTGCTACAAAGGTGCTAGTCTGATCGTTGTCACAGGGGTTCGAAGTGAGCCCCTTTCGTGAAGTTTGTTTGGCGTGCCTCATGTGGACTGGGCTCTTTTTGGGCCCAGAACTGAAATAGTAATTGGCTTGTTAATAATTAAATGGTAGGCTTTGGGCCTTTCAAGTTAGATAGCAGGCTTTGGGCCTTTCAGATGGAGGGGGCAAGCCGCTCGAGTCAGTTCCCCGATTGGTGAAGAAGAAATGGTTGAGCTTTTCCTACAAGCCCAGGGACCTACCTACTTCAGTCATTTGATTCCGGCCTTGGGAAAGCCTTTCAATGATGTGTTAAAAATGGGGGAGCTAGTGGAAAAAGGAATCAAGTCAGGCAAAATCGTGAGTTGTTCGAAAGACATTCAGAACATCCAAGTAAGCTTGGGTAAAAGAAAGAGAAACCGAAAAGATGATCCGATGGGCTTTCCTGGTCGACACTTCCAGCTTCGACATCGTCCCCGTGGATATCCTTGTGTACCAGATGAGCCTCCCCAATGCTATTTCTCTCCACAAAAACCCCAAAGTCGTACATCACTTTCCCCGTACCCAGCTCCACAAAATGCCTATCCACCCCCACGAGCATACCGAAAACCCCCTGGATCAGGTTTTCGGCCCAATCAAGCGTTTAAGAACGAGAGGCTGCTGAAAAAAGAAAAGGCTTTCACTCCTATTGGAGAATCATATGCCAGTTTATTTCAAAGGCTGAAGCAATTGGACACGTTGAAGCCAATCCAGATAAAAATGCCAAACCCTCTGTCAGAGAAGTTTGATTTTTCTCAAAGGTGTGCATATTGCTCGGATGCCTCGGGGCATGACATAGAGAAGTGTTGGGATCTGAAGAAAGCAATTCAGAAGCTTATTGATGCAGGCGACATTCTCGTACAAAATCTGGATGCAGCAAACACCAGCCAAAGTCCATCACCCGTGCACAATGAGACGCATATGGTGGGCATGATTTATTTTGAAAAGGAATGTGAGAATTCTTCTGGGAGCCTCGGAGGTCCAAGGGCTACCAAGCTTTCAGCACTATCAGAGGTTGATCTTAAGAACGAGCCGGCGAAAGGAACCCAAAAGCAGCTTGATAAGAACAATGTGATAAAGACTTGTGAAGTTCCCAGTATTGTTGATGCAGAATTCAGTGGCTAAGATACCGTGCTTGGTAATTGTAAAGACGCGCCATTTCTTGGGCGGCCAGAGAGGAGCTTTGGTGGCTTTGTTTATTGTCATTTCTGTTGTCCAGGTTATTTCAGGGTTGTAATCTGGATATTGTCTTGTGACTCAAGCCCTTCTATCTTTTTATTTTGTACAGTTCCTTTGGTCGTAGTATCTCATGTAGTGTTGTCTAGGCTTGTTCTAAGGGTTGTACCCCAGTTTGCTGTGCTTGTTTTGTTGTCCAAACTCTTTCACCGTCAGTCTAATGCAATTCTCTGTTTTCTGTAATTTCTAGTCATTTCTGTTTAGTTTTCTTCTCCTCTAATAGCTCTTTTCGTGCTGGTTCTAGTGACATGACATGCATGCGTAACTCTTAGCCTGAGCTTAATAGTTAGTTTAGTCATGAAACATTGGCACAATTTTGAAGATGACAGGAATACTTGAGGGAAATAAGAACAGATTTGAACACTTTGAGATCATTTGAAGCCCGAACCATGTGAAACTGGGACAGATAAAACACAGGGAAACCCTATTGGAATACATCATGCTGCATCAGGTTGAAGCTAAAGGAAAGTTTGCCCGAATTGTTAAGAGCCGTTCGTGGTAAGGAAAATGAGAGTGTTGTCCAATGGTGCTTTGTATTCAACAGATGTAGAAGGCGGATGTGTGGATACGGTTACCGAGTCTGGTACAATCAAAAGATGTTTGCGAATGTTTTCTGTGGTTTGTTTAGCTATGTTAGTTGTACTTGGCATGTTTTGAAGATTGGAATGACGAAGGCATTTTGTTCTGCTATCTAAACACTTTATCCTTTGTTACCCCCTTTGAGCCTTATTTATTTTCTTTCATACCCCTCTTTCGGAATCAGTAGCAAAGATTAGAGACACAAGCGTAAAAGATAAGTAAAGGAAAAAGAGAAAAGGAAAGAATGAAAAGAGAGAGAAGGAAAAAAGGAAGTAGAAAAGAGAAAAAAAAGAAAAAAAAGAGAAGAAAAAAGAAAAATAAAAAAAAAACAACAAAAAGAGAAAAAGAAAGAAAAGAAAAGACAACAACAAGTAATTTCTATGACATGAACAACGTTCGACTTGATTCCGAAAGGATACATAGGCAGCCTCTCTCTGAGGTTCAGTCACACCAAAATAAAAATCCAAAAGTCCCCAAGAAAGAAACTGGGGCAGAAGTTGTGGTTGTTGTGAGAAATCTGATTCCGAAGGTTGTAATTTCGAACCCATCTGAATTGTTTTTGAGCCTTTTAATATCCTTTCTTTCTAACCTTGGCCAAAACCCACATTACGGTCCAGATAAAGACCTTCCGATCAATCTTCGTGAGATGCCAAGGCAAGCAAGTAGAGGTGAATCTTATCAGGGGCAACACTCCGGTCCAATCCCATACTCAGTCCAAAATCACATAAGCCTTTCGGCACAATAATACAAAAATATTCAGCCCAAACTTCATTTAAAAATATTACTTTAGTTTCTACTTTTAGAAAAATGGCTGAGTTTACAAAAACAGTGTTAAATACCAGGACTGAGTTCAATATCTAGAAATATGGTAAGAAACCAGTAAAAATAATCCCTGAAGGATTCAAGTAGTTGGCACGAAGCCCAATTATGACAATTAATCCATTTTTATAAGGATATCACAAAACTACAATCAATTAGGTAGTAATTTTATTAAGCGGGACGGACCAAGTCACAATCCCCGACGGTGCTCTACCCCACGCCCGTTATCCGGCGTGCAAGTCACCTCACATAGCACTACATTGTGCAAATTCGGGGTTTCAAACCCTCAACACAGCATTTACATTTATTACTAACCTCAAGTTGGCCAAAGTCCTAGCTTGCTATGCCCTTGCCTTTCGAATTAACCTCCTCGCGCGTCGAATCTGACCAAAACCACAATGAATACATCACAATATGCTAATCGGTCAATACCCAATCGAAAATAATCGAAAAATAGATAAATTCCCGAAATTAGCAAAAACCCGAGCCCCGGGCCCACTTCTCAAAAATCAGTAAATTTACCATCGACGGATTCCTTATCTCGCCACGAGTCTATACATATAAAGAACACCAAAATCGGAGTCCAAATGACCCCTCAAATTCCCATTTTTACTCTCTTAGGTTTCAATCCCTAACCTCCATTTTTGACCTTTAATTCCTTGATTTTTCAGTCTAAATTCATGTATTTGCATCATAAAATCGTGTTTTAGGCTTAGAAATTCTTGCCTTGATGAAGTCCCTTGATTTCTCTCCTCCAACTCGCCCAAATTCTCCAAGTCCGAAGTGAAACTTGTGAACCCTTATGAAATTTCGCGCAGATGAAATTAAATACCTCTGCCCAGGCCTTTCCACATATGCGGCTCCCAGATCGCATATGCGACACCACTTCTGCGGTTACCCCCTCCGCTTCTGCGAAAAAAACTCATTTAACGGCCCAGGCCGCATCTGCGGGNCAGTAGCAAAGATCATAAACACAAGCGTGAAAGATAAGTAAAGGAAAAAAAAGAAAAGGAAAGAATGAAAGAGAGAGAAGGAAAAAGGAAGTAGAAAAGGAAAAAAAAGAAGAAAAGAGAAGAAAAAGAAAAAAAAAAGAAAAAAAAAAGAAAAAGAAAAAAAAAAGAAAAAAGAAAAAAAAAAACAAAAACAACAAAAAGAGAAAAAAGAAAGAAAAGAAAAGAAGAGAAAGAGGAAGAAAAAGAAAAGAGAAATCACAACAACAAAGTAACTTCTATGACATGAACTGCGTTCGACTTGATTTCGAAAGGATACGTAAGCATCCTCTCTCTGAGGTTCAGTCACACCAAGATAAAAATCCAGAAGTCCCCAAGAAAGAAACTGGGGTAGAAGTTGTGGTTGTTGTGAGAAATCTGATTCCGAAGGTTGTAATTTCAAACCCATCTGAATTGTTTTTGAGCCTTTTAATATCCTTTCTTTCTAACCTTGTCCAAAACCCACATTACGGTCCAGATAAAGACCTTCCGATCAGTCTTCGAGAGATGCCAAGGCAAGCAAGTAGAGGTGAATCTTATCAGGGGCAACACTCCGGTCCAAACAAAACAAAAAGGGGGAAAATGAGAGAGTTTTATCGATGAAAACCCTCACGGGTACCGCAAGACGATGAAAGCTGAGAGAAATAAAAAATGAGAGAGTCTTATTGGTGAAAACCCTCACGGGCACCATAAGGCGACGGTGAGTTGAGAGAAAGATCAAAATGAGAGAGGCTTGATGGTGAAAACCTTTCGGGCACTACAAGTCGAATAAGGATTGTGAATCAGATTGGATAAGCGGAGCATTGAAGCCCAGTTTCACGGCAAAAAGGTACAACAAGAGCTGACCATCAGATTTGTTTAACAGTATAGGCCGCAGGTGCATGTCATGGTCATTAGAGTTGGTATCCACACCCGATAGGTTTCTACTTTGTAGTTTTTTTGTCAAGAATCATCTCTGTCCATTATCCTTTACTCTGTTCCTTTTGTCTTGTTTACTTCCTCCTCCTGAGTCTGTCAAAACAAGTGAGAAATGACTGCAAAATTTGCCGCCAGCTTTCCAATTGCACAAGACAAGATCTGGCTAGCACATCAAAGTGGCATAAGTCCGAAAAGAGCAGCAAGCGCACGGAGTGGGTAACAATCAACATGCTTTGGGATCCTTGTGAAATACAAAGGTTTGGTACATATCAATTCATGAACAATGCAACAGATGAAGGGTTAGGGTGAACAGATCAATGGTATTTCCTGTGATAAGATTGACAAAAAGGGTGGTAAACCAGTGACAAGAGAGACCTTCCAAGCAGAAATCAAAGTCATCATGACGAATGAGGGAGCCGTAGACCTCAAGGACAGGACCAGTGGTTTAGAAAGAACAGCATACGCAATGAGGGGATGACAAGTGTCGTGCTTTGGGGTTCATGTGAGACACAAAGGTTGGTAAATGTCAGTTCAGGAGCAATGCAACAAATAGAAGGTATGGGGGTTAGAACGGAGAAGAGGTATTTTCTATGTCAAGGGTAACAAAGAAAGCGGTTAGTCAATAAACAAGCAAGATCTTCGGGTGGAAATCAGTTATCATGACAAATAAAGGAACAATAGATCTCGAGGCCAAGGCCGGTGATTCAAAAAAGGAAAGAACAACATGCGCGCTGAGTTGGTAACAATCAGTATGCTTGGGAGCCCATGCAAAACACAAAGGTTTGGTAAATGTCGGTATGAGCGGTGCAACAAATAGAGGGTATTAGGTCGGAACGAGAAGAGGTATTTTCTGGGTTAAGGTTTACAAAGGAAGTGGTTAGTCCAGGAACAAGCATGGTCTTCGAATGGAAATCAGTTATCATGACAAGTGAAGGAGCAATAGACCTCAAGGCCGAGGCCAGTGTTTAAGCCAAGAAAGAACAACATATACACGGAGTAGGGGGCAATAGACGCGCTTTGGGTTTCATACGAGACACAAAGGTTGGGGAGATGCCAGTTCATGCAATGCAACAAATAGAGGATATTGGGTCTGAATGGAGAAAAGGTATCTTATAAGGAAAGGGGTTAGTCCTAAACAAGCAAGGTCTTCGAGTGGAAATCAGTCATAATGGGAAGTGAAGGAGCAATCCTCAAAGTTCAAGGCCACAAACCAACCACCACATTTTAAACTGACAAGATTTTTCTTTGATTGAAACAGGGGCAAGAGATTTTTCTGTGTTTTTGTCTATTTTGTTGAAGTCAGGAGCCCGCCTGGAGAACAGAGGCACACATTTCAAGTTTCAGCAGTCAGGAGGCCGCCTGGAGAACAGAGG